CCGCGCCGTCCCAGTCAACTACGACTCCGTCTCCTAGCAATGGCTCGAGCCAGCAATCTCTACCTCTGCCTCCTCTATACGAGTTGAACCTAGACCAAGCAGCCTGGTATCTCAATCGCTTTACGACGAACATGCTACCATGCTTTCCTTTCATCTGTCTGCCACCAAGCACCACTGCGCAGCAGTTGCATCAAGACCGGCCATTTCTCCTCGAGGCCATCATCGCGGTAGCCACGCCCACAACCCAAGAGAAGCTGGCTCGCGCAGATAGATTGAAGTCTCGCTTAACCAAGTCAGCTATGCTTGAGAACCAGTCTAGTATTGACATGTTGCTGAGCATCCTGACCTACATTGCCTGGAGTACGGATCCGTTTGTTAAGCGCGCAAGTAACCTGTCTCGCATAATAATGTTGGCTATGTCTATGATCTATGATCTCCAACTGGACAAGAAACCACCACCGCCGCCAGAGGTGCCCATAATAGCGAAGATGGCACCGGGCTTGGGAGGTCCAGAGCAAAGTGCAAGTGATGGTTCTCTACAAGAGGTCCTAGAGCAGCATCGAGCGGTCCTGGCTTGCTTTGTTCTTAGCTCGATGTAAGTTAATCCTCATCCTCTGCTTGAACTCGAGAGTACCTCTCCTGACATGACTATTCCAGCATCTCATCCACCTTTAGACGCACAGTCCCCCTACCATGGACCTCCCAAATGGAACAAGCCCTAAATCTAATCGAGACAAAGAAAGAACACCCATCAGACGAGTACTTCACAATCCAAATCCGGCTACAAAACCTCGCCCAAAAAGCCCTATCCCTCCGCGACCCAGACGAGACAAATACCTCTACCACCTCAACCACAACACCCTCAGCAACAACCATGTACCTCAAAATACTACACAACCAACTGAAAGACATCCAATCCTCAATCCCACCCCATCTCCCCCACCGCGGTAAGCCACCAACCCACCCTTCCCTCCCTCCGTCCCAGAATCCTACTAACCACCAATGTTCTCCCATTATAGCCCTCCTCCACCTCCAAACACATTACACCTCCCTCCTCCTACACGAAACCCCCCGCCTCACCAGCTCCAGCACCCCTCTCCTTTCCCCCACCACAACCACCGACCCAATACCCCATCCCCTAACCACCCTCATCCACTCCCTCCAAGCAATCAAATCCTGGCTCTCAACCTTCCAAACCCTCCCAGCACAAACCATCACCGGATTCCCCTTCTTCATGTGGTTCCAGCTCGTCCGATGCATCGTGCTCCTGAAACATCTCTCCACGTTCGACGATCCGACATGGGACCGCGACGCCGTGCGACAGGAAGTGGATATGCTGGAGTTGCTGGACTGGATGGGGGAGAAGGCGGAGATGGCTAGTATTGAGGCTTGGGAGACGTCAGATGAAGATTTGTTTCGAAAGGTGGGGAGGATGTTGAGATTGGCGAGGGAGTGGGTGGTTAGGAAGGTGAGGGGGGAGGTAGATGGATGGGTCCCTGGGGATGGGAGTAGTAATGGAGATAATGTGGGGTCTGGAGTTGGAGATGGGTCTGGGGGAAGTGGTGAGGGTAGTAGTAGTGGTGGTGGTGATAGCAGTGGTATAATGGGTATGGATCCGGATATGACAGATATGGCGTGGATGCATGCGCTGGAATCGGGGGATGGAGGGTGGCTTGAGGAGGTGCTGGGGTGGTCGCCGCTGAATTTCTAGATGCGTGTCTGCTATATGTATTGAGATAGTGATGATGGTAGTCCTTGCATTCATCCTGATACGCTAACGACCTGTTGATTGCTCATCATCTACTCTGGCTCTATCATCTATAATTGACTATACATCCCACCACCCCTCCAAATAAGACTTCAGATCAATAGTATCATGGCGTTTCAGATGCGGCGTCAGATCCGCATCTGGAAGCGTCTCTCTCGTCGTCCATCCATTTCCCAGAAAAGCGAATCTATTCCCACTCGGATTGGTATACGAATAGTCCCAATCTTCCCATCTAGGATCTCGTCTCAAGTAATTCAACGCTGCCGCACTGCCAGGAAACTGACCATGGACTTTGCCACCAGGCCGACCGCCATTGTACCATGAGCTACAGTTCTTCTGACCCGGGGTAGAGTCGTCATTAGCTGTCCAGACCGTGCGCGGGTAAAATTTGTCGCAATATTCGACAAAGTCATCGGCTGCTTGCTTGGATGGCTCCATGGCTTTGATACCTTGACTGCGGATCTTTCGCAGGAGCTTGGCTATGTAGGTGACTTGATTCTCCAGAGCATTGGGCACACTGCCTGAGGGACCGGTGGAGTGGGGACCGCCAAGCCAAAGTAGATTGGGGAAGCCTGGGGTAGCTACTCCGAGGTAGTTGTAGGGGAAGCCGTAGAGACCGTCGTGTTTCCAGGCCTTTTTGAGATCGATCCCGTTGGAAACGATGGAAAAGGGTGGGGCGTGGTCGACGTTGGCCCCAGTGGAGCAGATGACAACGTCGACGGGCCGTTCGATACCATCTGTGGTGACGATACCTGTTGAGGTGAATCGCTGAATCGGGGTTTGAATGTAGCTGACGTTGTCTTTGGTCAAGGCTTCAAGGTAGCCTGGGCCGGGAGTGGGACGGCGACAGTTGGGTGGAAAGTCTGGGATGAGCTTGTCAATGAGTTCGGGCTGGTCGCCGATTCTTGACTTCATCAGCTCAGTCCATTTCTCGCGCAGACCGCGGTTCTCCGGGGAGTCTTTGAAGATGGCGCCAAAGCGAGAGAAGTATCCTGCTTCGACGCTCTTGCGGTATGCTAGATAAGTATCGGGGTCGCGAAAGGACTCAAGTTGCTCGGGAGAGAACAAGTTTGCTTCGAGTCGACGCACACCAGATGTGCCGAAGGAGTCAGCTATCCAGGTCCTGTTGCGAGCATAATGGTCCACGTGTTGAGCAATTGGCTGGATCGAGGGCAGGACCTGCAATCCAGACGCTCCATTGCCGATCAACGCGATGCGCTTGCCGTTCAGGTCGACATTGTGATTCCAGTGCGACGAATGGAAAAGCACACCTGTGTACTCATCCCTGCCTGGGTAGTCGGGCAGCTTCCACTCATTGAAGTGGCCAATAGCGTTGATTAGCACGTCGAGGTCTTCGTCATATGTCTTAAATTGATTAGCCACTGGGCATAAGCCGCTAAGTAGGAGCAGTGTCATACTTGATTGGAATTCCCCAAGTCTTGCAAGGTCACCCGCCATTTACCCAGTTCAGGAAGCCACACAGCCTGGTCGACTTTTTGTTGTAGTCGGAGGTATTTGTGCACATCATATTTGCGCGCTAGGGATTCCCAATACTCGCGAATTTCGGCGCCTTGTGCGAACTCCTCAGACCATTGTGTGTTCGGTTCGAATCCGGACTGATAGACATGCGCGGGAATATCGCATCGTACTCCAGGATAAGTATTTTCGAACCTGTTCATCAGCACAAGCCGTCGCACGCAATAAGTAAGCTTTCTTACCAAGTACCTCCCTGTTTTCAGTGTTAGAAATGCATGGTATGTGACTCGAACTCGTTACTTACCACACCGGAGTTTTTCTCATAGATCCGTAGGTCCAGACCAGGCAGTTTTGCTGGGAGCAAGACTCCTGCTGTAATTCCAGCCAGACCAGCCCCAATCACACCGACTTTGATCGGACGAATCTCGTCAATTGGATGTTCCTCGATTTCAAAAGCTGGACGAGCTTGGCCGTCTGCCTTCTCAGACAAAGCTAACTCATTGATGAGCGACCCAAGAGACACAGTGGGGAGGTGCTTAGGATCTGTCTCTGTGACAGGCTCGTGACGTATGAGCTCGGGTCCTTCGACTGATGCCATGGGGAAGAAAACTTGTCTGTTCTATGGGCACATATGAGGGTAGCAAATTGGCGAGGTGCAAGGATGTCTTTTATCTTAAGATGGCTGCCGACAGGGAGGGGTTGCGAGATCGGCAAAGCACATCACGCCTGATAAAGTGTAACCCCTCTTCGGAACAGCTGCACGCCATCTGCACCTCATTTGACCTCACAGGGTAGCCCGGAGAAGCCAGTAGCAAGAGTTGTAAAGGTACCGGGATCACACCATTGCGGACTGGAATGATGCGACAAGAGGGGCTAATCACTGGTTTAGCAGCACCAGTAACTTGGCATAAATGTACAATACCCCAAGGTTAATTCACTGGCAGAAGTAGTAGTGATACATTGAGTATGTATCGAAGCTGCAGGCGGTTCGGTGGTTGCATTGGGCAGATGCAGTTGAGTTGCAGGATATTACCGAAAAGGGAAAGATGGGCAGGGATCTTAGGCCTCAGGCAGCAACCGCGTGTAGCCGCTCATCGGGACTCATCCTACTCTAGCCGATTCCCAGAATATCATAGCAATCCATGTCATTCGCAATTGTACTAGCAATAGCACTATACCAAATCAATGCGACGCGATGCGAGACTTCATTAGGCGCGGTATCACGTGAAGCAGCAGTCACCACTTTAGTCGCTTCGGGATGTCATGTGACACAGCCCCATGGACTGGTGGTTGACATCACGTGGGACCCTGATACATTTCAATACAATCCAGCATATAGGCGCAAATTAGGTTTCTTAGGTTTATTCTTGTTAACTGGTAGACTAATTTCCGACTCGTAAACCATTTTCTCACAGTCAGCGTACATCAGAATGCTGTGAGTGGTTGATTTGGCAAGCAAGCGGGCCTTGATTGACAGGCATCCCCAGCCTTGCCTGGATGCCTCGATGCCTGTAAAACTCGGCATTCACAGCCGACCTCGTGTTCTCCTCGCTTCTCTTTGTCCAACTTCGTCTTGACAACGCCGGGCGCTCTTCAGCTATTGTTCTTCGGGATAATCTTAACCCAAATCATTCCGTTGCTTTTGCTGTTATGATTCCCTTCTTGTGTGGCTGAACACATTCTTCCTGACAACCAACTCTCTCATTCCGGACTGCTGCGCGCCCGGCATCCTAAGGCTATCACTCATTAAGCAGATATGGCTCCCGTTGGTCTCCTGACTAAACTCAGGACTCTGATCGCAAAGGACTATGGTAAATTCATAAACTATAAGGTTTTTATACCATTGTCTGACTTATCCCGCAGATGCGCCTGCCATTTCAACACAGACCGCGGCCTTTCTCTCGGTATGCACTCCTGATCATTGGCTCCTACCAACTATTCCCTGGGCTTTTGGTCTTTTTATTCCTTTCTGGCCAGTATCTGATTTACGTCCTAGGTTTGCCTTACCCTGGTCTATGTGGTTCCTTTCTATGTGAACCCCACGACCCGGCCATCGCCCACCCTGAGTAGAGATGCGCCGTCGGTAATCCGGGCCAGAATTAGAGCAGTGACATTCTCATGCACCATCAGTAGCCTGGTCGTCTTATGGCTACTCGCTGCCAAAGAAAATGCCACTTTCTCACGAGCTCTCCACTTCTTGGGATGGTGGCCTGTCGGTCTCGTGGACATTTTCCGCAGCTTGCTCCTCACAGCCATCCTATTCGCCGGTCCACTGTTTGAGCGTGGTATTGCTGAAGGCGAATGGAGAGAGTGGGTTCAGGGAGGCAGAGTTACTGCATCGCTTCGCAGCTGGATTGGATGGAGAAACTATGTAGCGGTAAGTTCATTCTATCACGGCAATGCCTGGCTTTTTGACTAATTGAACGATGCAGGGTCCCATCACCGAGGAGGTCATGTTCCGCTCAGCCATCGTTCCCCTTCATCTCCTTGCCAAGGTTGATCCTGGCCGCATCGTATTTGTGGCTCCTCTCTATTTCGGCATTGCTCACGTACACCATTTCTATGAATTTCGTCTCACTCATCCTGACACATCGGTCGTCGCTGCTTTATTGAGATCAGTCTTTCAGTTCGGCTACACGACGATTTTTGGCTGGTATGCCACCTTTGTCTACCTTCGTACTGGGTCTCTTCTGGCAGTTATCCTCGCCCACACTTTCTGCAACTGGTGCGGATTGCCTCGATTGTGGGGAAGAGTAGAGGCGGGCGTACCCATGGGACCGCCCATGGTCAAAGGAAAAGGATCTTCAGACGCGGCATACGGCCAACTCAGTCTAGGCTGGACCATTGCATACTACGTGATCTTGGTCGCGGGGGCTATTGGCTTCTTCCAGGCGCTATGGCCTTTGACAGATTCGCTGAACGCATTAGCCAGCTTTTCTGTTACGGCCAAATGATTATAATGAAGAGAAACCAGCATATAGCGGACGGTTGATCTGAAGGATCGCAGCATCGACTTCTTGTCTGTCTTGGGCCAAATGGCCAGCTTTTCAGTTCATGGATTTGTCTGCCATCATAGCGACAAGCATTGTTGTGAGTAGCTTGACCGCATGCAGCATTGTTATGACCATAGTATTATTAATGTCCAACACCTCAATTTGATCGGAATGAATTATCATGTATGCATCAAGGCAATTTGGACAATTGTTGATCAAAGAAACATAATACATGAAAGTGATGTGTACTACTGTATTTCATAAGCGAAACTGAGTTCAATGTAGTACAGTGCTAAGTACTACTAGTACTTAGTACTAGCTGATTTATTATAAGTGTGGATCGTGCGATATGGACTACAAACGGTGTTGATTGCAATCATGATGTCCTAGTCCGGTCATTCTCATCATCTTTATATATTTTGGCCGGCAGATGAGTACCATTACTTTTAGTATCATCCACAGCGCACCATCGATACTATATTTTAAATAACTGATTTCATGATCTGTACACTTGTAACGCGCAGGCAGTCTAATTAAGTCTGAGCCAAATTAAGAGACAATGTAAAGTAATGTATTCCCCAACCAGTCACCATTTTCGGATTATGAAGGGCGGGACTCGGGAATCTCCGCTTATCTCCGACCGCGCCGAATCCTCCGCAGCTTCGGGGTTGCTCTTTTCAGTTTCCACCACCCACTCTTACTGCCATTTCTAACCCAGAACCCTCCTCTTTTCCTTCCTATATACCCCTTTAAAATCTTCATTCCCTCAGTACATAGAATATGGCCGGACGACAAAGGATCATACGGGCAGCATCACTGCAAAGCCTGGCGCCAATTTCCCGACCCAACCGCTCCGCCGCAACATCAGCTCGCCTCTTCTCATCCACATCCCTCAGCTTAAACCCTGCGCGCATACCCCTGGACATCCCTCCCCCATTTCCCGTCACCAAAACATGTCCCGAATCGAGCTGCTCCTGCCCGGCGACCCCGGCCATGCCCTCCCCCATCGACTATGACCAGCCGCTGAACGGAACGATGGCGGCCTACGCACAGCAGCTGCTCATCTGCACCGGACAACGAGACTGGACGAGTCGCATAGAAGAGGACGGTCAGGGCCAGAGCTGGGGTGCGATGGTCCGAGGATTGAAGAGCCTGCTCGGGCGTGGAGGGAAATATGCCGACGTAAGTCATACTTCATCATGCGGTCGCAACATCCCATTGACAATTGCTACGATAGCCCTTCAACAATATCCTAGTCACCAGCTCCTCCTTCCTCCCCTCGTCACAATCATCATCGTCAACCGGCGCAGCAACCCCCCAGACCGCATCCGCCTTCCTCTTCCCCAGCTTTAAATACTTCCCCTCCGTCCCTGTCAACATCCCCGAATCGGCATCCGCCTCCGCAACAACCGACCTCTCGACCTTTGTCCGCGCTTTCCTCCTCCCCAGCGAATCGAGACATGGCGGGCAGATCCGCGACCAACCACTGGCAGCTGAGTTCCCAGATGCCGTTGATCTGCAACATTCCCCCGTTGTGTTGATCTGCGGGCACGGTGGTCGCGACATGCGATGTGGTGTCATGGCGCCGGTTTTGGAGACCGAGTTTCAACGGGTGCTGAAATCCAAGGGGTACACGTCTGCGGGAAGTGACAACAGTGTTGTTGATAGCCCCGAGCATGCGCATATCGGGTTGATCAGCCATGTTGGAGGACACAAGTATGCTGGAAACGTGATTGTATATATCCCTCCCGGAATGAAGGAAGCTGGCTCTTCCTCGCCGCATCCGTTGGCGGGTAAGGGTATTTGGTATGGGCGTATTGAGCCCAAGCATGTGCAAGGAGTGGTGGAGGAGACGATTCTGGGTGGGAAGGTCATTACGGATCATTTCCGGGGAGCGGTTGATCGGGAGAGTGGGGTGTTGAGGTTGTAGACTTGGAGATTTTGTTTGGTGGTAGAGTATATTGTATAGTAGAGAATAGATCTTGTCTTTATGATAATGCTGAATTGAAAGTGAAGCGTATAAAAATAGAGCTGAAGACTAGAGTCAGATTAATGGAGCGCGTGGGTGATGATACTGATCGAGTGAGGTCTACTGTACAATTCCATAAGACAGCACATCAGCTGAATATTAGCATAGTAGTAAGTTAAAGTCTGTCAAAATGCTGGGTCCATGTCCATTCATAGTATCTCTGATATTGCTTACGTACCAGAAACCCCAACCCCAGGATCATCTCCGCATCGGCTTCCCGGCTGCGGGGAAAGCAAACATCGGGATGCCGGTTGAGCACAATATACACAACAACAGCCAGCTAAAGCCATCAACACAGCTCAATTGCCAACAAAAACACAAGCTATACATACATACATACAAAGCCACAATTCATTTATTTTTCACCCCCCAACCAAACTCCCTTACCCCATCACAAACCACCCCCTACTCAATCTTCCCCTTATTAACCACAAATCCCTCCAACGCCGAAATAGCCGCCCACAACCTATTCTCCGCCTCAGGGAAAACCAACGACCGATGTCCATAAAACACCTCATCAGCCACCTCCTCAGGATGCCTAGGAAGACAATGCATGAACCTCCAGCCCTCATTGGCCCCACCCCTCTTAGCCAACTCATTCGTAATCTGAAATCCAGCAAAATCCCTCAACCTCTTCGCAGCCTCCTCCTCCTGTCCCATCGACACCCAAGTATCAGTAACCAACACATCAGCCCCCTTAACCGCCTCCTCAGGAACATTCGTCTGCACCAACTTTCCAGGGGACTTAACACCCTCGCCCGCCTTCTCAATGATCTCCAACATCTCCTTAGGGATCTCATAACCCCGGGGAGTAGCAACATTTACATCAACACCCATTTTCCTGGCGCTAATCGCCATATCAAACAGCACGTTATTGGCATCGCCCACCCAAGCGATCTTCAACCCATCCAATCCCAATCCTTCTAACTTCCCACCCTTGGTCTTCCCAGAACCACCGAAATGCTCACTGATCGTCTGGAAATCCGCAATGGCCTGCAATGGATGGTACGAGTCACAGAGAGCATTGATGACGGGCTTGGTGGAGTGCTTAGCGAGGTCCGCGACGTCAGCGTGCTTGCCTACGCGAGCAACGATGCATTCCACCATGGAGGAGACGACCACGGCAGTGTCGTAGAGGGATTCGTTGACTCCGAGTTGGATGTCGTCCTTGCCGAGGAACATGGGGTGGCCGCCCATTTGGACGACGGCGCCTTCGGTGGAAATGCGTGTGCGGGTACTGCGCTTGCTGAACATCATGGCGACGGTCTTGCCGGAGAGGGCGCCGTGGAGGGATTGAGGGATAGAGCCGGATTTGATGGCCCGCTTGTGGGAGGAGGCATTGCGGACGAGGGTTGCGAATTCGGTCGGGGTTAGGTCCGCGATTGAGAGCAGGTGGCGCGGTGCGAAGGGCGAGGTTGCCGGCGTTGCGGCGGAGTGGCTGCTCGAGGAGTAGAGCCGGCGCAGGGCATGGCGGGTTGTAGAGGGCCCGTAGCGGGCGGCTGTGGCCGCTGTGCGGAGGGGGGAGGGCATTGTGGGTTTGGTGGGAGGAATTGGGAGGAATTCGGGAGGTGGTGAAGAAGAAGAGAGATGGGAAATGGAGGTGAGTCAATATAGGTAGGACATGACTGGGGATGCTGTCACGTGAGAGGTGTTGAGGGAGTGGGCCGATTACGGAGGACTATGACTCAATAGTTTGATTTGGTTGGCGGATGAGGAAAAATAAGTACTAGACTAGTAGATCATTCTGTGCTCCGTAAGGATTTTGCTAGGAAGCTGTAGAGGATGTAATGATGGTATTGGCTAACTATGATTATGCGCTATGTATGTATGCACAGGGTATTTGATTAGTATCTCTCCACCAGCCACTTCCGTCGGGCTTCTGCCTCCATTGCATTCAGCTTCTTGCTCTCGGCTCGTTTGACAGTGATATAGTTCTCAACCAGAGTGTTGCCAAGCACATCCCGGAGAGCCTTGTCGTATGCCATATTGTCCAGACTCTGTGTCAGGGTCGTGGGGATTTGGGTGGTGATTCCAAGGGCACTGCGATCCGCCTCGCTGAGTGTTGCTGCGTCATCTACACCAATTTGTTAGCATGTGTGTACGCTAGAGGACAGCCTCACTGGCAGGATTACTTACATAAACAGTCCTGCAGGGTCAGGGGCAGCTTCTCCTGCACACCCAGAGATCCTGCAGCCAGAATTGCAGCCATCGCCAGATACATATTGGACAGACCATCAAGCGCCTTGATCTCCCAGTGACCCGCAGAGATCTTCCGGATGGGTGTCTCGCGGTTCTGAGTGCCCCAGGCGACCCACTCGCTTCCAGCCCAGAGGCCGGAGTGCATCCGGTCGTAGCTGACATCATTAGACAGAGTGAAGGCCGTCAAAGAAGTGAAATGCTTGAGCACACCAGCCAAGAAGCTCTCCTCCTGAGTCGCTGGAGTCACGGAGACATGCGCATGGGCGGCTGAGCCAGCAGCGTGCGAGTAGGGTCGAGGGTGAAGGGTTGCGCGGTAACCGTGTTGTTCAGCGACATAAGTCACGACCTGTCGTGCCTTGAGCAGGGTATCGACAGCAGCGACGGGTGATCCGGGTGGTAGAATGAATTCAAACTGGCCCGGGGCCGACTCGGCGTGGAATTGTTCGAGGTCAATGCCGATGGATGCAAGAGTATCGACAATCTCCTCGAGCAGCGGCACCATACGACGGGTGTCTCGGGTCATCTGAGACCAGGAGTGGTTGCGCACGCATGGAACAAACTCTTCCTCATCGGTATCCGGTTTAGTGACGCACTTCAGCAGAATAACCTCAATCTCGAACCCGCAGAGAACATCGATTCCATGCTTGGCACGCAAATCAGTCGTCACGCGGCGCAAAAGGGTCCGTGGGCATCCTTCCACCTCCAAACCCTCCTCAGAACGCCCCCAAGTCAT